CTTTTGAGGGTCAGTTTCAGTTTTTAATCTCCATTTCTTCGTGTGCTTAGTTTGACACAACTGTGCTGTAACTGCACATTTTTAGCGCTGCTTGTGAATTAAATGGTTAAACAGAATTGTAACTTCTATTGATAAATTGTCCTGACTTGTATTTATTAATAGCAAGGATCTATGCTTATTCCAATAGGCACTGTTTAAGTTTGGGTTTGTTTCCTCATTGTCTTCCTGTCCTATTGTATACATTGGAGTTGGTCCCAGAAATTTTGTTTTAAACCAGCCAAGATTGTAATTTTTTTTCTTTTTTTTTTTTTTTTCCTTTCTAACCATCCTGAAACACAGTAACAGGAAAGATTGACAGAAGAGTCTGCAATGCCAGAAGGGTAAATGATCTTTCACAGTTGTATAGAATAAAAGGCTTTAGTTAAAATGTTTTCAAGTTGTTTTGTGTACCAGATTAATGATGCAATTTTGGAGCTTTGATCTTTGCTACTGAATGTTACAAAGGGCTTCAGAGTCCTTCGAAGCCTCAAATAATAGAATGGCTGAAGAAATGGCAGTACCTTAGCAGAATCACATGAAGATGATCATATAATATGGTTGAATGTAAGAATTTAGGAGGTGTGCAGACCTTCAAGTGTGAGCTCTGAGCTCCTATTGAGGTGCCAAATGTGCTCAAGTCATGCTGCTCACCTGAGCAGTGCTGCTTTTGTACCATGAAAGTAGTTTGTGCTGACAAGTGACTGGTGCCAGCTGGTGCTGAGTTGTCTGGATGTGGAAAGGTTGTATCCTTGTAAGAGGCACATGAGAAACCAAGGCTGGTTTTCCTGATGCTGAAAAAGCCAGGACAGGATGCTCAAAGCTTTTGCCACGGGGACTGTCAGCTGGGCTGCTCTGGTGGAGAATGCAGTAATTCAGTAACCAAATGTCTTCCCAGAGACTCCCAGCATCTGACTTACATGGAGTATAAAGTGAGAGGAGGGGGTTTTTTGCTACTCCCTTTTAATTTCTGTCATCTTTTCTGGACTTGTGCTGTCTGTAAGGGTCCTGAAGGCAAAAGCAGGAGAATTTTGAGTTCATCTGAGAGTCATAGCTCCTGGGGACATTGTGAACAGAGAGAGTTCCAGTTTGCCAGAATCACAGAAAAGGCCACTGATTTGTAGAAGTTATTTTAATTTCCAAGTTCATGATGGGAAGGAGTTGCAAATCTAGTACTTAGTAGTGTAACCTGTCTCCTAGAAGAACATTTAATTTGTCTATGACAGGCAATTTTTTATTTTCTTCAGGTGAGGAGGTGCTGAGAACAGAAGAGCTCAGCTCAGTACTTGGCAGCTGAAGTGCAAGTATCATTTTAGGAAGAGAACTACTTGAAGGATTTAGAATTAATTTTTAGAAAGGTTTAAAATAGAGTCAAAACAAGCCCTAGACAGAGAGGTTGTGAAGTCACTCTGAGGTGAATTAGTGTGGAGACACCAAGGAAGGGGAGAGAATGCATTTGCCAGAGGTGAAGGCACACAGTGACTGTCACAGAGACCAGTGCATTACACCAAGGTATCATTTTTTCCTTTTGCAGAGGTCATGTTTGATTCAAACATGATCTTACACTGTACGTGTGCTGATTGCTCCCAGAGCTGGGTTAAGTCACCTCACAGCTGGATAACAGAGCTGTTGGGAGCACATGCACACTTAAAAGTCAAGAATATGGGTTGACTGAAAGTTTCCTTTGCTGTGGTGGGTTTTTTTTCTGTAAACAGCTGTGCAGACATCATGCAGAGCAGAGGTACTGATTAGAGACTGGGTGGGACATGCCTGATCTCTCTTTGAGGATATTGTGACGCTGTTCTAGCCATCCTTTCTGGGAGACTGTGAGTGCTTGATTACTTTTTGTAGCTTAGAAATGTAACTTACACAATTGCTTTGCAATTCTGTTACAGCAGAACCACTGCCAAGTTAGTGTTTGCTGAAGGCAAAAGTCAGCAGGGATGATGTGTCGGCATTAGTGGCAGTGCCCAGGAAATGGAACCGATTAACCCAGTCAAATCAGTGCAGTGAGTAACCTGCTTTCACTTTACAGCCAGAAGCAGTGGTGCCTGTTCTTATGAAACTGCTTGGAGGTGAAAATATTTGCCCAGCTTTGGGGGAAGATGGAGAATACATCTGGAAATGTATGAGCACACTGGTACACGAGCGGTGTGATCTCTGCTTAGCATTAGAGAGATCTGTTATCCTGCAGCATTTCTGAGTTACAGCTCAGAGAAATTCTGAGATGCCAAGTGTGGCAACTTGGATGAGCAGCCTCTGCACAGAGCCTAGAGCAGTACAGCAGGAGGTTCATTAGATTATCAAGCCTGCTGTGAAAGTTTATGAGAGAAAACAGTCATCACTGCCTGAATTTGGTGTTTCAACGGTTCTTGACAGTAGCTGTTCAACTTAAAGACAGTAAATGCATCCATTCACTCATTCCATTCACTCATTCAAGTTCAACCAGAATTAGTTCAGCATCCATATTGCTGTTAACAATGAGATTTGTGTGTTTATCTCTGGGATGGTTATTTCCTTATCGTGATTTTTGGGGGCTATGATCATTCCCAGTACAGGGTTATGGTGTCCAAAATTCCCATCAATCACGTAATTACTTGGGAAGGGAGGGATCGGTCCAGCCTGCTCAAGTTAACCTTGCTTAGGGCAGGACCTGACCAGGTTTCTCTGGCCTTTGTTGAGCAGAGTTGTAGTATCTAGGTGGGTGGAGGTCCCACAGCCGTGGAGGGCCCATCCAGGATCAGCCCCTGTCAATCCCAGGTGTCCTGGCTCCTTGGGGAAGGCAGGGCCACAGCTCAGTGGAGATGGGTTTGCCTAATCCCTACTACAGTACTTGAGCTCCTGGGAGCCTCTTTGGATTAAACATCTGCCAGACTCGTGTCCTCAGGCTCAGCTATTAATATGAGGGAGCAGCTCAGGTCTGGAAGCTGATCCTGTTGTGTCTGGCCATAGAAACCCCCGAGTGCTCCAAGGTGAGATCCTCCTGCCTTTGTTTTGCCCTCCTTGTGATGCTGCCAAGATAGTCCTTCGTGTGTCTGCAGAGAAACTGCCGCTGTCGTGTTTAGAGATGCCCTCAAAGTTTACAGAGTGGGGGAAAGGTCATATCCAGCTCCTCCTTACCTGGAAACAGATGTTTGGGACAGCACAGGTTGATTGGCTGTTTGTTTTTGGCTCTGCATCCTGCCACTCTCAGGTATTTCTCCAACTCTTTTCAGGTTTTATTTTGACACTAAGAAATTCTAACCATCTTTCTCGCTTCTGTACTCACAAGTAAGAGTACTTACCTTGGCTTCAGCAGTGAGATAGCATCTAAATTATCAACAGAAAAGGAATTTGATGAGGAGGTTGAACTCTTCATCTTATTTAGCATTTGAATCATCAAGTTTCAGGTTAGGAGAACCCAACATCCCTCTGCCTGAGGCTTAACCCTAAGGATTTGGTTTTCTAAACCCCTTCCAAGAACCAGTTAACACACAGACTGACTGACATAAGTTTAAGCCATTTATTATGGTGACATATGAAATCTAGAACAAGTTTTGACATTCTTTGCTCTTAAATTTCTGAAGGGTGTTAATAGTACAGCATCATTTAAATGAGCTACTACCGGCTTAAAACCAGTTTTGAGAAAGGTGGAAGACTAGAAACAAGTCCTAAAGAAACAACATCAATAAATAGATCACCTAGATGTCTTCAGTCATCAGGCTCCAAGACCAAACAAACTTAGCAATAGTTTAAATTACATTTATTTTTAGTGTTTGGCTGTTCACCCCTGTAACAGTCAGGTGAGGAAAGAAAAGAGGAAATTTATTTTAGCAATACAGGAAATAAAACCAGTTTGCAATTAACAGACCATTTAGCAGACTAGAGTCCAAATCTATGTTCTACTGCCTGCAGTTGGGGCTTAATACATTCTTTAAAGCAACAGGTATTTTGACAGTCCTGTTCAGAACTACTGTACTTGCAGTACTTCAGACTAACAACACAGACGAAGGAGTACCAAGGACAGATTTTACCCCAGGGTGCACTCAGCTGAAGACCTCTTGTGGTGTGACTTCACCTGCACCCTTCGGGTGAAGCTGAGCTGTCACAGGCAAATCTGTGGGACTCTTGAGTCCCCCCCTCCTGCCTCAGTACCAGATTTCAGCCCTGGCAGTTGTCACGTACTGATCTGCACAGTGCAGAAACAGAGCAGGAGACAGGGCAGGGAAAAGGAAATCAGGCAATATTGTACTAAATAAATGTACTTCAGTGTTTAGCTTCAACACCCCCTATCTCTTAATTCAGGAAGGAGTTTCACCACAGTAACTGTGTTATTCCCTATCCCTTTGACATTCCATGATAAATCACTGCCCTGAGGGTTATAGAACCACACGCCTTTCATTGTTCATGCCATGTTTGCTGCTACATTCAGAATCTGTTTGAAGATAAGTGCAAACAAAAAAGCTACAAAAAGCAGTTGATGTTGCTGCACAACAGCCCCATGTCTTAAACTTACAACGATCTGTATAAAAATAGAAATGAGTAAATAGAAAAGCACAACTAAAGAAAAGCTATTTCTCAGTCATTACAGAAGCCAAGACATTCAGCTCCACTGAAAAGGTTCATCACCCCAACTTAAACATCATTTTCACTTCCATTTGTTTCAAATAACCATCATCATTCCCTCCTCTGCTTCATTTTTTATTTAAGTGTGAGGCCACCACCTGGTCCACAGAAGAGCAGAAGTGAGTGACAGGACCCACCATGACTCTGTCCCATCTCTGTGCTGCAACTTCAAACCACATGGCCCTTCCTTTACTGAGGAAGTAGTTGAAGTGAAGGTACCTTACAGAGAAGGGACTTAAAACAAGAAAAATAACAGTCTGAGAAGTATTAAGTAGGAATAAAAGTATCCCGGGGTGAGAAATGCCTTGCAAGTCACAAGAACTGTCTACCCAAGGAATACCATTAGAAAAGCTTTCTAACAAAACTATAAATATTTTTTTTAATGCCATCAATCATACTGATAAAATCATCACTAAGTGTCACTGTTCAGGCACAGTGCCTTCATAAATACATTCAGGAGCACTTGTAGGCAAATGTGAATTCTGGAACTTGACATTCTGCCAGTGTCCAACTTGTTTCTGCATTAATTTCTCCATTAATTTGGTGATTTTTGGACAGCATTCAAAGTTTGAACACAGATCAATCCATTAAACAGTGATTGGAAAATACAACAAGATATGTACTTCATGTGATTTCTAGTATTGTCTACACTAACAAAATAGAGTAACTGTAATCTTTCAAGATCAGAAAAATATTCCAAGCTGCAGCATTTGACAGTCTGTAAACACAAGCAGGGTCCATTTCACTCAGGATCTTGTGCAGCTGCTTCTTCTTTCTGTTCACTTGCTGCTTCTTCCTCTGGTTTCTCTGGAGCAGTGGTTAATGAGCTCTCAGTGCTGTTCACCAACAGCTTTAATTCTTGGTTATCAGGATCAGTTCCTAGAGTTGTTTTTGAAGAAATTTCATGTGGAAGAGGAAAAGAAGGTAAAGGTGGAATTGAAGGCAGTAGGTCATCCAGCTCTGGCTGCTTGTCTGAGCCTTCAGAATACAGGGTTATATCTTCAGGGGCCAAAGCTGTGGCATGTTCTGGGAAATGGAAATGGTTTGTAAGAAAATAAAAACTGGCAAGGTAACAAGCAGCACCCCTGGTTACCCTAGAAAAATCAGCCTGAATGAGACACCTTGTACAGGCACATAAACAGATTCACAACTGTCAAATACATGGGCTGCATTTACTCAGTTCTCCCCAAATCCAGGAACTCTGATGGTGCACACAGGTTTTTAAAAGACCATGAACTTTTGGGTCTGTTGTGTTCTTACTGTTCCTGTTATTCTGTGTTGCAACTCTTACAGTCACGCTACCTTTTGGAAGGGAAAGGCGGGCATCCTGTGAATATATTTTTTTTTAAAACAGAAAAGTGTGTTGGGTTTGCATGGCCAGGTTTTGGTATTAAGGGGCTACAGGGGTTGCTTCTGTGAGAAGCTGCCAGAAGGTTCCCCCATGTCCAAGGGAGCCAATGCCAGCAAGCACCAAGGCCGAGCCCATCAGTGTCAGTGGCAGCACCTCTGGGATAATGTGTGTAAGAAGGGGGAAAAATTCCCACGGCAAAACAGCAGCCAGAGAGAGGAATGAGGATATGCAAGAGAAACAACTCTGCAGACTCCTGGGTCAGTGCAGAAGGAGGGGCAGGAGGTACCCCAGGCATCAGAGCAGAGATTCCCCTGCAGCCCCTGGTGCAGCCCATGGAAGCTGTGGGGAAGCAGCAGAGATCCACTGCAGCCCCTGGAGGAGCCCGTGCCAGAGCAGGGGGATGCCCAGCAGAGGCTGTGACCTGGGGGAAGCCTGTGCTGGAGCAGGGTCCTGGCAGGACCCCTCACAGGGGACCCAGGCTGGACCTGAAGGACTGCACCCCACGGAAGGGACCCATGTTGGAACAGTTCCTGAAGAACTAGAGCCCGTGGGAAGGACCTGAGTTGGATCTCTGTGGGAATGACCCCATGGTGGAGCAAGGGCAGAGTGTGAGGAGCTCCCCTGCTGGGGAGGAAGGAGCAGCAGGGACCTGTGATGAACTGACTGCAGCCCCCATTCCCAGTCCCCCTGTGCCTCTGGCAGGAGGAGATGGAAAATTTGTGAGTAAAGTTGAGCCCAGGAGGAAGGGGGGGGGGAGAGGGGATGTGTTTTTAAGATTTCAGTTTATTTCTCGCTATCCTCCTCTGATTTGTTTGGTAAGAAATTAAACTCATTTCCCCAAGTTGAGTCTGTTTTGCCCATGACAGCACCTGGAGAGGGATCTCTCCCTGCCCTTATCTCGACCCATGAGGCTTTCACTGGATTTTTTCTCCCCTGCCCAGCTGAAGACAGAGAGTGACAGAGCAACTTAGTGGGCACCTGGTGTCCAGCCAGAGTCAGCCACCACAAAAAGACAATATTAAGATGACTAACTAAAAAACTTCGGTTTTCCTTTACAACTGTGGTACAAAAATTCATTTACACTGCTTTTAGAAATACCTACTTTTAAAGTCAGTTTAATCAATGTTTTCATTTAAAGAAAAAGACACACTTTCTGTAATCTTATAAAAAAGCCCGTTAGTTTTTATCAATTTCTATCCCTGATTTCTGCTACTTTTTCCATTTGATTTTTGCCTGTCCTTTCTGATTTTTATTAAAATTCACTTATTTCCAGAAAGTGTGAAAATGTTGAATGGGTATGAGTTGGTGCAATTCCAGAAATAAAGGAGGTCTTTAATGCACTTACCAAAATACGTAGAGGCTTCATCGTTTGACATTAATTTTTCAGGGCTTGTGGAAGCACCTGCTGCTGGCGTGTTGAAGGAGGCAGATGGGGACATGCTGGACACTTCTGTTAAGCTAGTGAGCTCAGAAAATGAAATACCAGACATATCTAGAAATCCTGAAGGAGAAAGTGAATATTATATCACTTTTTTTAGATACAACACAAAATTCTAGATTAAAAAAGACAAGTTATATCCAGACTAAAAAGTCAGTGAAGTCCCCTCCCTGCTAAATGCAAATAAATTTAACTTATGTGGTACCTGAATTCTACAGCTCTGAAATCCAGGGAAGTCAGAAATTTCAAGGAAAACCACTATCAATGCTCACAGTTCTACATTTAAGTCTCAAGCTTGTATATTCATTTATTTAGATGTCCTCTAAAGAATTGCTGAAAAACCACCTAAGAAAATATACCTGGATCCATAACTCTCTGGAGAGGGGGAGGAGGAGAAAGTGAGCTTTCTGGTGAATAACCACTCATTTCTTGATCTCTGGAATGATCCAAGTTCATGACTGTTTCAGAGCTGTCACTCTGAGAGGTAGGTGCCAGTAATGGAGTCTGGAATAAGACAGTAAGAAGGAAAAAGATCTTTTTACATTGATAGGTTCACCTGAAGCCAACCTTCCTATGAAAGCATCCTGCCTGTTTCCACATACACCAATTCAGAGAGAATCTGTGATGCTGAAATTGAAAGCCAAACACCAATTAGGACATCAAAGTGTTCCAATTCAGTTTTTAAAGCCAGTATGTTCTTAGAAGAACAGTCCATGCTCAGTTCTTGTAGGTGGTTTTTTTTCCTAGTGAGGTAATTGTTCTTCTAATGTCATTCTCATTGACTGGTACAGCTGTAGTATAGAGCATGCAAGTCTTGAAAATAGGAAGAAAATACCTGGCAAAAACTTGTATCAGCCAACACTGGTGATCTCACACCTGCCCAGCACCCTCAGCTCTCACCTTCCCTTCACCCAACTCCATTTCATTCAAGCAAAATTAAACACTGTATTCCAATACACTGTGTTACCGACGTTCCAAAAAAGTAGAACTTTTTTCAAACTCCAGAGAACATGCCAGAGATTGGCATTTATTTCTTACCTACCTCTGTGTAACCATTAGTGGACGGTACAGAAGTTCCAGCCTCTGGTGAGGGTGAAGGTGGTTTGCTTTCTGGCTTTTTCTTTGATGTTTTGGATTGTGTTGGAATTCTGTGCAAATAGCCATATCCAATACCACATCCTAAGCTGTACAAGACAAGTAAATCAAGACACAAAAAAACAGGTGTTCTTAACAAAACTAGTGTTTTAAATTTTGACTCTTCACAACAAGAAGAGTTTGTGTCTTTCATCTATAGCAGGAAATACCTACCTGCAAGAGTTGTTTCACTTACAGTACTCAGGGAACGCTGTGCAGTTGACTTTTAAAAATACACAGCTTAGCTTTCAGTTGATTGGGTTTGTATCTTTACAGAATGTATCATCCGACCTGGTGTGGGTTTTGTTCTTGCTTTAGCTCAGTGTTTGACTATGAGAATGAAGACAGTGAATCTGCTAACGGGGAACTCAACACAGGATTTTTGCCATTTGATTCAGATCAAAAGGATTAAATCCAGGACGTGCCCAATTCCTAGTTCTAAGCTTTTTTGTTTTTTATGAAGAGATTAACAGTTTTGTGTGATAAGTGTAAGGAAACAAGGCTTAACTTGAAAACAACAAGCTGCAATTGATAGTAATAATACTCTTAACAGGATCTCATTTACAGCAAGTATATAACCTGTCTTCAAGTGACTGTCCAGAGATCAGTACCTTCCTTCTCCACCCCAAGCTCCATTGGGAGTCACAACTACCTCTCGAATGGAATCTGCTTCAGTGTTATAAACCATCAGCTTCAGCGGCTTCCCCTCATGGGATTCAATCAGGGAAAAGAAATCCTCTGACTAAGAAAAAAAAAAAAGGAAAGACAAAGTTAATAAACTCACATGTGCAAGACAAGGAGCTGGAAGCAAGTCAGCATTTTACATAGTTATTTACTTCAACACGAGACATTAAAAACCCAGAGCCAGAAAACTCACTGGTGTAGTTTGATCTTTAATGGCAACTTCTTGTTATTGTCACATTAAAAAGACAGATAATGTTTACCTCAACAATAAAGCATCTGTCATAAATACCAACCTCCCCAAATCCCCAAACACCATCCCCATACGTTTGGTGTACACAGAATTAGATTTATGAAAAAACAAATCCTTGAACATACACAAAGGCAACCAGTCCCTACTGGAATGCACCCTACCTCCTGGAGAATCTGATCAGATCCAACAACGTAGTCAGTGTAGGGCTGTAGACCAGCCAGAGCTGCAGGAGATGCAGGTTCAACGTCCTGTGAAAGAATGACAGTTGTCATCTGCACAGGCAGCAGGACAGACCACCCCGAGATCAAAAGGGAAAGCTAACTCCAAAACCAGCAGAAGGAAAGAACATTTTGTTTATGGGATAAAACAGAAGTCCTTGAATAGTCTACATCTAAGTGTGACATCTTGTAAAACGTGCTGAATAAGAAAGACTAAGATGCTACCAATTTAAAATAAGATACTCCAAAGATGTGGAGAAGTTGCATTTATTTAAACAACCAGAAACATAACAAACAGTCTTTCCTTTTCAATTCTACCTCTAATTTTAAAATAAATTTGTGGTGCTTTTTGTAACATTAATTCAGTGGAGTTTAGCCAACACAGAGACACCAATCAGGCCAGAGTGTTTTTGCTTTTGACACTGATTCTTCAACAAAAAAAACCCTTCCCATCTACACTATTGGGTCTGGTTGGGATGGAGTTATTTCTGTCACAGCGACAGGCAACACCGACAGACACCTACTCCTTGTCCCTACTGAAACAGCTCAAACCTTCAAGACTCTGCTCCCTTCCTCTGTGTGATTTCAGCACTGTACTTTACATAAAAGCTACTTCTAAATTATTACACTGTAAAGCAAGGTTGTATGAACATTGACAAGCCACCAAAGAATTCTCTCTCACCAAAACATGCCACACGTGTTCATTGGCTCCCTGGAAGCTGCAGAACCTCACACTGGCTCCAAGAAGGCCTTGTCCTCCCCACATGTTACTGGGGATCACCTCCACCTCTCTTATTTTCATTGTTTTGATATTATACACCTCCAGCTTCACTGCTTTCTCAGCATTTGCCTTCAGCAGGTCTTTCAACATATTGTTTTCCTTATTCTGTAGAGCACAGAAAGAGATACAGGATTAGATTAACGTTATTCCCAGCTGCACCTGTAACATGTCACATCCCAGGCAGAATTTGAATACAAAGAACCAAACCCATCAAAGTTTAGTCTCTGTGGTTCACAAACAGTCCCAGCAGTTCAATTTTCTTTTATTAGAAAGCAGTCAGTACTGTCAGCACCTGTCCCTTTACATAATTGCTGTTATTCCATTTCATCACTTGCATGAAATGCTTCACAACTGCTATTAAGTAATACCAGCAACATGAGATGTCAACTGTGTAGTCTAACAATGAGCAGCAACATTTCACTTCATGTCTCTGAGCCCTTCAAAGTCACTGCAAACTGACTGTGAAAGGACAGACTATTTGGGAACAGCTGACAGAACCATCATCGTGTCTGTCATGTTAAAAAGATTAAATGATCTTCCACCACAATCACCATTTCAACAAGCACTTCCAAAAAGACATCTCTGCTCATAAAAGCAAGACAAACTTAATGAATTCAGCTTGTGTGGGGTTAGGGTGAAGCATACAGGCGAAGCTCTGAGCCTGTTAAATAAACAAACAAAAGAAACCCAACCAAACCCCAAAAAAACCCATCAAACCAGAACTCAACTCTTCTCTCACAGCTCAACCTATTGTGTTCTTGGTCCCAAAAGTGTAAGTAGACAGGCTACGATTCTTTTTCAGGTTTTATCAAACGTTGAAACAAGTTTGTTTAAACAAATGTTGAGCTCTGACTATTGACTCACCAGTTCAATATTCACCTTGTGGCAAAAAATACGTAGGAATGAGTAATAACATAAACATTGCGTCAACCTGTTAAGAAGTTAAGGTGAGTAAAGGCATAAATAAGACCCTTTCCTCAAATTTGGATCCAGCCAGAGAAGAGACTTCAAACACCAGCAAAATTTACTTTATTTTTAATGCCACATACAATGTGAAAAGCTTTCTTTACTGTGACAGTTTGGGCTTCTACTTTTTAATCAACACAACACCCATAGTTCATGCAGGGAAGAAAAAAAAAAAACATTTAAAATCATTTGAGACTTACAAGCCTCGTGTGTCCAATGGCAATGATGAAATCAAAGAAAGGTTCCAGTCCTCCTTGTTGAGCTGGGGAGTTTTCTTGGACCTGAAAAACATACATTTTATTATTATTAAACACTGATCTCTAGTTACATAAGTAAAAGTGTTAATCTTTACACAATTCCATATTTACTTTTGAGTTGAACCAGAGATAAGATACCAAATGACAGACTTCAGGAAGCAATCCACAACTGTGCACTAAGTTTTATAAAACTATGAGCAACAGGTGTTCAAATTAAGCTGTAAAAAGCAGGTTTTTAACCCCATAGAAAACACAAATATTGTGATTCAGTGTTCACAGCCTGGAATTTAAATACTGAATACTTTGGAGGAAGGTTTAGTTCTCAAAGTCCTGCTTCAGGATTTTCTTCCATGCTTCTAACAGCCTGAGCACATCAAGATCCCCACTTACAGCAGAGCTGTTTTTCCATAAACACGATTTACACTTGGGTTCCCACAGTTTCCAGCCCACTGGAACGGGAACACTTAGATGAGAACACTACAAATGCTGCCTCACCACAGGTACTGGTCAAGGAAACTGCCACCACTCACAAAGGATTCCTAAGAAATAAGAGCTGCAGCTCCTCGATTTCATTATAACCAAGCTGTCACAGGACAGGTGCAATAAATATAGAGAACACTTATTAAAATGCATTCACACCAAGATAAACCCTGCCACCAGTTACACAGTGCAAATTCTGTGAGAGGTCACCCACTTCCAAGGTACACTGAGAAAGCAACGGGATGTTAAGGAACCACTGCAAACGTGCTGACAAGTTTGCACTGATTTTAACTTTACTTTTTGTTATCTCAGCAGCCCTTAACCTCATATATTTGACTCCTGAGGGACACCCCAAAGTTTAAGCACCAAGTTACAACCCAGGCATCATCTAAACTGAGAAGCTCATTGCTAGGAAAGTTTAACTACCATATCTTATATTTGGTCTATACAATATATACAGCACCAAGCTGCTGTAGGTTTTTTTAATAGTTGAAGTGTATTGGTATTGGGGCTTTTCCTGGCAGAACTTTCTATAAGTTAAAAAATACATTGATAAAATAGTTTTATATTTTATATATATTTATATATATTTGCATATATTAGTTATTATTTTATAGTTATAAAATATTTTATAACTATTTTATAGTTATAAAATAATAGCATAGTTACTTCAGCAAAAGCTTTTAAAGCAAAACTAAGAATAAAAATCATGCTTTATTATTAAACAGTCAAGACTGAGTGCTGTAACCACAACTGGAGTAGGAAGTATTAATTTTCATCACAACCCTAAACTGCAAACAGACAGCTTTATACTGAACCAAAGGGTAAAAATGTTTACATAAAAATTCTAAATAATGTTCAAGAAGCCTTAGAATGAAACCATCACGTTACATAATGTCCAGGATGAAAATGAACACAGGAAGAAGCACGTGAAAGTTACTACAGAGCTCAGGACGTTTGTGTTCGGGTGTCTAAGAACCACACAGGTTCCCACAGGGAGCTGTGAGCTGCAAAAAATCCTGCTGCACTTGGTTTTCAAAATGACCCAGTATCAAGAGCTGCATGAATTCCCTGGAGAAAAGAGAAACTACTTTGTCTTCCGCAGACTGCTGGTCACCAAAATCATCCTCCAGTACAGAAACCTGAGCAGTGTCCTGCGCTCAGCATGAAAGGAGGACCAACATTCATTTCTGACGGAGCAGGCTCGGTTCAGGAGACCGACACGAGCAGATACAGAGCAGCAGTACCCCAAACACACCTCGTGACACTGAGAAACATAAACTGGGATGATGCGGAAAGCAGCACGTGGCAACAACACTTCCACTCTGATTCCAGCGAGGGAGAGCACCCACTAAACGAAATGATAACTCATTTAACAGCTGTTATCAGCAACACCTCTGTCTATCCTGAAACGCCGGGATACGCATTTACACCAGTGTGTGTGTGGACAGTGCTGGATATACAGGAGTCAAAACAAACTCGCAAATACATCCAACGGCGGGGGGAGGCTGGAGCAGGAATTAACCTCCGGACAAGATGCTGTGAAGATCCACAGAGAAGGGAGCAGGGAGAGAGGGAAAAGGAGCAGGGAGAGGGGGGAAGAAAGGAGCAGGGAAGGAGGGGGA